CTTTAGTGATTTTATGCACCATGGGTAGCTCTCAACCAATGTTGGAAGAATGACCGTCTGAGCGAACAAAGGAACAAAGTCTCGGGGCCTGTGGCAACTACAATTCGGACTTCTGGTATTCCAGAACATTCTGGTATTATTTAGGGTATAGACAGTGTCCTGGGAATTCCATGATGAGAGACATCTGGGTGAGCAGAAGTGATCAGGGAGGCTTCCTGGAGGAGAGGACATGGCTGGAATTGAGCCTTTGATGGTGGCCAGGACTGAGCGAGACAGAGAGGGAAACCCTCCGTACAAGGGTAACACTTATTCCACAAGCAGAGTGGGAAGATGGGGGAGTGCTGGTCTCACGACAAGGAACAGTGCAGAGTCTCAGATAGTGCAGGTCTAGTGGTACCTGCATCAATAGCTTTAAAGTTTAACAGTTACAGTTTTAATGGATACTGGAAAACATGTAACTTGCCCCATTGGACCCACAACTTGAGATGCAACGGCTTTTTTATTTTAGATAATTCTTTAAGGGGTGCCTGTGTGGCTCAGTGGGTTAAAGCCTCTGCCTTCAGCTCGGGTCATGATCTCAGGGTCCTGGGATCGAGCCCCGAGTATGGATCTCTGCTCAGCAGGGAGCCTACTTCTCCCTCTCTCTGCCTGCCTCTCTGCCTACTTGTGATCTCTGTCTGTCAAATAAATAAATACTTTCAAAATTTAAAAAAAGACAATTCTTTAAAAAAATGAGTCAAATTTTTAAAAATATTAAGTTAACAGAATCATGTGGTAGGTGGGGGTTAGGACGCAAAGTGAGAGGGTGGGGAAACGCCTCAGAGTCAAAGACGCTCTTAGACCGATGTCACATTGAAGTCTGACAAAGGTCTTTTGAAGCGTTGGCACGGCTGGTCCTTCCAGCGCTGGGCCACTTTCTTCACTGAGCCCTGAATGAAGTCATTGGATGTGTTTACGAACCAAGGTTGTACCAGAACACAAATCAACTTAAACCTTACGAAACTATTCAGAACCAAGATGTTCACAGTGCAGTGTTCCTTTGGGACAGACACGTACCCAGCAGAGTGCTTTATGGATAATTGCCTTTTTTTTTTTCCCCCTTTTTAGGAGCGTGTAGAACTCCATGCAAGAATTTTTAGAAGCGTCTGTGTTGAGGCTCAGGTGCAGGGAAGTCTACAGTCCTCAATGGTTATCAACTCAAGTTGGGGCATGCTGGGTTCAGCTTCTGGGAGAGAACAAATGGGGGTTTTAAGGGAACTCGGAGGCGTGGACCTGGAGCTTCTCACCAGCAGGTCTACCCAAGGGCAGGCCCGGGCAGCAGAGACCATTCTCCCAGCCCCCCTGTCCCGCCCCACCGGAGGCACCGTCCCAAATACTGGTTTCCAGAACGAATCTCGAGATTGAGCAATCCTTTTGCAATCCTGTTGCAAATGGGTGCTTTCCACTTTGTTGCTTTCGACAACTGTGCAGAGAGGTCAAACGGATTTGTCAGCTGACAGGTCAGCAAAAAGACTTTTTGGTGACAGATGGCCCTCTGATTTTTGCCCGTGACTCAAGGGTGTGAGATTTGAGCGACACGGCTATTGGGGCGTTCCTTCCTCTCCCTGTTGCTTATTTTTGTCAACAAACTTTTTCTATCTTACATCTACAAAAATAAGAATGGAAATGATGGCAAATTTGGTCTCCTTCTAGTAAAAAGTTTCGTCATTCGAGGATACGTGAATCAGTTGGGAAAGCCTCATTCACCTCGTTAGGAGATATATTTCCAGGCAAATAAAAACCACAGTGAGAGGCACCTGGGTGGCTCAGTCCTAAGCATCTGATTTTGGCTCAGGTCATGACCTTGGGGTCCTGGGATCTGGCTGGTGTTGGGCTCTGCGCTCAGTGGTGAGTCTGCGGGAGGATATTTCTCTCTCCCTCTGCCTCTGCACCCCATAACTTGCAAGCGCTCTGTCTCCCTCTCACTAAAAGAAATAAATAAAATATTTTTTTAAAAATGAGATTCCACTACAAAGGACTAAATTTTTTTGAATACCAAGGTGCTTATGTTGGTGGTTGTTGTTATGCACAACACGGAAGGCCCTCATACCTTGCTGGTGGGACTGCAGAAGAGGACAGCTGCTAGGGACAGTGTCAGCCAGAACCTCCAAAGGTTAAACACAGAGTCACCATAGGGCTCACCAATCCCACTCCTGGGTATTCATTGTAATTGCCCCAAACTGGAAACACTTTTAAATGTCTTGCAACTCCCGAATGCCTACAAACCCCAGTATACGCATACAATGGCCTTCTACTCTGCAAGAAAGAGAAAGTGTTTTGTTTTGCTTTGTTTTCTTGAGAAACAAACTGTTGACACACTCAAGGACATGTGTGAATCTCAGGACGGATGCCAAGTGAAAGAGGCGGTGTTAAAAGTCCTTATCCTGTGTGATTCCGTTCTAAGGACATTGTCAAAAAGGCAGAACTATCTGGTTGCCAGGGTTTGGCCTCAGCAGAAGGTTTTCCTGCAAAGGAGAAGCAGGAGGAAATCTGGAAGGAACATAACATTGTTCTGTAACTTGGTTAGTGGTGGTTACTGGAATGTGTATGTTACAATTCCTAGAACCGTACACTCATCTATTCCACTCTGTGCATTTAAGAAAATTCAAAATATGTGTAAAAAAGGGGACGCATTCCAATAGAGTTTTACTTGTTTGTGGGATAGCTAGCAAATAGGAAACACTGATGTTGTCCGTCAGTGGTGTACCTACAGAAAATGGCAGTCCAGACCAACAATATGTTACCCTTTGTGGTCAAAGGAAGAAATTAAAACACTCATTCGAACTTCTACAGATGCTCATGCTGCAAAGAAACACAACAGAGCGATTCATAATACTTAAAGCCATAAATTCTATAACATTTTGCTAAACTTCTAGGGGAGAAGGAAATAGGCATTCAAGACCGGACGTGTACTAACGGAGAGCTGGTTTGTGTGTTTTTTTCAGGGGTTATATCATATTTAGGACGTGGGCTGTCTAAAGAGTGATGACGTGGTTTTATTTTATTTTCTAGGATTTTATTTGAGAGACAGGAGGGGCAGGGGAGGAGAGGGAGAAGCAGGGTGCCCGCTGAGCAGGGATCCCAACGCGGGGCTCCATTCCAGGACCCGGGGGGTCATGACCTGAGCTGAAGGCAGATGTTTCACGGACTGAGCCACCCAGGCGCCCCCTGACGTGGTCCAGAACCACAGTGTGTGGGAAAGTGCATCCTGGTTGGCTACTTAAACATCAGATGAAAGCTTCTCGATGTCCATGCTGGAGCGAATGGGTGGATGGTTCCACAAAAAGCCTCGGGGAGGGCAGGTGGCACATGAGCCGGGAGGAGGCGAAGACCATGGGATCCCAACCCCTGGGTCTGCACCTGCCGGGCCAGCCACCCACAGTGCAGAAGTCAGAAGACAAGGCTTCCGACCCAAGGCTGGCGTCATCACGCTGCCTCTGACGTCATCACGCTGCCGCTGACGTCATCACGTCGCCTCTGACTTCTCACAGGGCGATCACCACGCCTCCAGCGCCGTCACAGGCCTCTCCGTGTTATAGCACCTGTGCGTCATCACCGGGCACCGCCTACGCCATCACGGCACTTCTGACGTCACCGGCCGGCCTGTGACGGGGATGCACGTCCTCCTGGACCCAGACGGACGCGCAGCCTTTGCCACGTGAAGGACGCTGCGACCGGCCTGAAGGGGCCCCTGTGGCCTGGGGCGGGGCTGCAGGTGACCTCCGCAAGCCCGATCCAGCATTAAAAATGTTTCAAATTGAAAAAAAAATTTTTTTAGTTGCATTTTGCAACAGCACTGCTAAAAGATGAATATAGTAATGTGCGGTTCGAAAATGTCTTTTTGACCTAAAATTTTGGGTTTCTGCTGATTTTCCAAGAAATACTATTGCTTTTGTGGGTCCCTGGCAGTACTGTGGGCCGGAGGCTCGCTGCGGGATCTGCCCTGTGCCTACCTGACCCTGGCTTCTTTTGATCCCCGCTGGGGGCCACCCTGGAGTGGCGGAAGGCTGAAGGGGCACCCAAGGGACGGTGGGGCTCTGCCTGTGCACCTGGGCCAGAGACAGCCTGCCAGGGCCCGTGCAGCAGTGACACATCCCAGCTCCCCGGGCGGTGCCCCTCGGAGCGCAGATGCTGCCTAGCCCGGGAAGGACAGACCTTCAGAATGCTGTGTTTGCAGGAAGAGAAAACTGGACACAGCTTAGATGTGCATCAAGAGGGACTGTGTGAGCATCTGTACCTGGGAGACTGTGCTGTCATTTACAATAATGAGGAGCAGAAAAGGGTGTCCAAGACAGGAACAGCTGGAGGGTCCGCTTGGGTGGGGAAAAAAACCAAGAATGACAAATCGTCACAGGAAAGGTCATGATGGCCAATTTATATAGCCCTTCCCATGTGCCCACTGTGTTCTAGAAGCATTCCATGTTCTACGTCCCTGCATCCGCACAGTGCCACTCTCCAACAAACCAGCTACTTTCTCCACTCCCGAGACACACAGCTGTCAAAGGACTTGCCTGAAGTGACGAGTGGTAAGATGCAGAGCGCAGACTCAAACCCAGGCCGTCTGGCTCCCACACTTTGTGTTACGCACTGCTCTTTTCTGCTTCTTCCGTAACAAGAAAAAGCAAAAGCCCAGAACAATACTGAGCATTTCCTACAGGCACCTCGATTTGTATATAGATGCACAGAAAAAAAAGTCTAGCCAGGCTCCATGCCAAAGTGGCAGGCTACCTTGGGACACGGGTCATAGCCGCCTGAGAGCCTACTCTTTCTAAACGAGAACTGCATTCATGCAGTATTTATATAAAATGTTAAATATAAACAAGGTTGAAATTTTAAAACAATAGAAAGGCAAGTCAGCAGCCCAGCTGCTCCTGGCAGTTACCAGAAAGGAGCTACTAAGAGCCCAGAACTTCCCAGGAAGCTCCCCGCTCCCCCACAAACACGCTGTCACAGACTCGAGCTTTAACTTTTAAAAAAGGTTTATTACTTCAATAGTGAATTACTTTTAAAAGATGATAAATTTCACTTCTGTTGCAGTAGAAAAGAGGCTGAGGCTTGCCCCAGAGCGGGAGTCGCGGGTGGATGGGTCTCCCACCCGACCAGACTGGACCCCCGGACTGATGGGGCTAGGCTTCCGCACCTCTGCCCCAGCACCTAAGAGCCGAGGGCCCTCGCGGGGGGCAGCTTGGGGCGGAGCGTCCCACCACCCGCAGCGGGGAGTGGCCGGCTCAGTATACAGGAAGACGTCAGTTTAGGCTGGAGGAAGGGGGCCCCAGGCACCCAAGTCTGGTCCCCACCCGTGCGGACTTCAGGGAGATCAACGTCTGCTTGGGGAATGAGGAGACAGTTGGAGCAGCCTTGAGACGCATCTTGAGCTCACATGTTTACTGAGGCCTGTGTGAAAGGGCCTCGGGCGCCCCCAGCCCAGATGGATGGATGAGGGCCAAAGCTCCGGGTCTGGGCAGGACTGGGCAGCCCCCTGCCCATACGGCTTTGGCATGAGAAGTCTGTGTTCCCAGGCTGGGTTTGGGGACAGTAGCCGGCCCCTCAGAGTAAAAGGCCTGTCCCGTGTGGCTTAGCCAACAAGCGGGGACTGCAGTGTTTCGTGACTGGGGGAGAGGGCGCTGGTGGGGAGGAGGCAGCAGGCGCCGGGGGCCCCCTGGATGAGCAGGTCAGACTGGGCTCTCTCAAGGGAGGGGACCCAGTGCCCACGGCACTGCGGGTCACTTGGACGGAAGGTTCCAGACAGTCCTCGTTGACCAGCTCTCCGGGTCTCCTCAGCAGCAGCTCCATCCCTGAGTGTGCCTGCACACGTCTGTGCACGCGTGCGTGTACACGTGCTAGGGGGTGTGCAGTGTGTGGACACGTGTGTGGCAACTGGGGGGGCTCAGACTTTAGGACTGGTGGGCTGTCCGCTAAGAGAGTCCTGAAGAAGCGGGGTACAGGGGCCGGGGAGCCGGTCTGGCTGAGCGGCCGTGCTGGGCTGGCTCGTGGCATCTCCAGGACCCTGAGGAGGAAGACAGGAGCTGGGTCACGGAGCCGGATCAGAGAGGCCCACCCGCATCCCCAGCCCCACGCTTGGCCCTGCACCCACATCCTCCGGCGAGGAGACAACCCCCTCCATGTCCCCCATCAGAAACACCCATTCATCAAGCTCGAGATCAGAAAAAGCTGGAGTGACGTACGGACCCCTGAAATGCAGTTACAAGGGAGTCCTCTCTCACTACACAGCATTGTGCCCTGCCCTCACCCCATTTCCGAGGTGGGAAAACCAAGGCCCAAAGGCATTTGCCTAACACAGTGAGCAGGGCAAAGCAAGGGCTCCAGGCCTTTAACTGGAAACCAGTTAAATGTCCTCCAACCGGAGAGTGCATTTTTTAAATAGCATCACAAGATGGCATTGAACCTGGACAGGTTTCACAAACCCAGACCTGCTGAGGCGAAAAGCCAGTGGCCGAGGGACCCATGAGAATTGCTTTAATCCTCTATTGTTCCCGGATATATTTATACAGACGTAGAGGGGAAAAGCCTACACACCAAATTCCTGGCAAGGACGGCCTCTGTGGGAAAAGGTGAACCAGAACAGAATGTTCACAATTCATGCTGTTGAGTCTGGGTGACAAGGAACGGCAGATGCTGTAATTTATCTCTTTTTTTTTTTTTTTTTTTAAGTTTCTCAACCAAGTCATTAAAGACGATGATAAGAAATGGGGGCGGGTGGGGAGGCAGAGACCGGGTTCTTCATCCCTCTGAGCCCTATGCCTTCCTTCCCCTGAAGAAGGGAGAGGCCTCCCAGCGGCAGTTGGGGCTGGGATATCCCGAGCACCCTGGCCCACTTGCAACCCCAAGGGCTTGCTTCTCCAGGCAGTGAAGAGAATTAAAACCCCCACTCTGTGCAGGACAGAGGGAGGGGAAGGGTTGGACTCTGGCCCCCTCCCTCTGAGACATTTCTAAGGCTTTCGGGATTGAGCCCATTCAAGCCAGGGGCAGGAATGGGGGGTACAAGGAGGCCAGGCCAGAGTGAGACCAGCCTACCCCATAACACACCACCACAGAGAGGCAGTGTGGGACACCTAGGGTGGTCACAAGCTCAGCAGCTTGACCCAAACAGCCACAGCTTAAGAAAGCCTTGCTCAGAAGTAAAAAGGAAAATTAGTCCCAGACTGAAAAGACCCGCTGGTGTATCCCAAGGAAGACACATGTAACAAATCCCCAAGGAACCAGAACATGAACCAGATTCCTCCTCTTCCTCTTCCCTTCCACCTTAGTTTGCCTGAGGAATGAGGACTTGGAATCAGAGAGAAATTAATGAGAAGGTAGGAATGGTCCAGGAACATTTCCCTGAAGGGCTTCCGTGTACAGTTGCCCAAGATGTTCACTGCACAAGTGAGCGTAGCCAAGGGGGCTATGAATGCGCTGTCAGCCTCCATTTGCCAAACCCTCTGCCCTCAAGCAGGCCAGGTCTGCACAAAGTGGATGTCTTTCTTATCGACATAAAAATGCTCTTCTTGGCTAGTGCAGGCTCCATTTCCTGCTTTCCCCAAACAAGGCAGCCCTTCAAGACTGTTCCCATGCTCAGGTGCAAGGCAAGATGTGCGGGGACCCACACCTAGGCTCAGCATAGGCTAGAGACCACCATGCAGGGATTCTAGGTCACCAGGACCACTGGTCACTTCCCAGGTGCCTGCCTCCCACCCCAAACCAAATCCTATGGGACATGACAGGACACTGCGTTCCCCAAGCACACGACTGGTGTGGAGGCTGAGCTGCCTTCCAGAAGGCAGGTCTGTAGAATCTCTAAGTCAAAAACTTCCCAAATAAATAAATAAATAAATAAATAGGAGACCCCAGGTTTTGGTTTTATCTTATGGGGGAAGGGGCGCGGCAGGACATGCTGGCCGTGTCCCTGGCAGCCCAGGGCTCTGACCTCACAGAACCACCAGCCCTATCTGTGCTAAAAGGGAATAAGGCCCTCTCTACCTCTGAGGAACCCTCCCCTGCCCCCCGAGAATGCCCAGCAAGTTTCGACAGAAGGGAATCGTGGCGAGAAGGAGGCAGGGGTCCCCGGAAGGCAAGCTGTACACAATAAGGCATCCTGGGATTCTGGGGAGACAAGGAAGGAAAGGGAGACTAGCGTCCAGCTAGGACACCCTGTTCCCGAGCCCAGGGATTGTGTCCTCAAGGAGGGTATCCGGGGCATGTTCAGTCCTGACGCGCTCACGCCCCTCCCTCCTACTCCCCAATTGGCAGGAGGAGCCACCCCACCCCCAGCCTGGCTGGGGACACAGCTGTCCCTCCCTGCTCACAGGGCTGGCGGCTGCTGAGCCCACGACTTTGCATTTTCTCTTTTATTTCCACCTCCAGCCCTGGCAATCGAAGCAAAGTGGAGGCAGCCAACTAGCCCCAAAGAGCAAGACTGTTGCCTCACCCGCGCTCTGTGGCTGTCAAGAAAGCTACTTAAACCCAAGCAGATTTGGCCCCAGAAGCTCGAGGGGGCAGCCCATTTTTGAGAAACCAAGGTAAGAGCCATCTGTCACAGGTACGACTGTAGAGTGACTCACCCCTGCCCGACACCAAAGTCTAGGGCCCAGGGCTCCACTGGCCACATCCCCGAGCAGGACTAAGACCTCAGACCTAACGGATCCCAGCCAGGAAGGCGAACTCCCGCAGGCATGAGCCTGCTTCTTCTGGAGGTAGACTGCCAGATAATATCAGGGCATCCAGTTAAATCTGAATGTCAGGTAAACAACTGAGTTTTCAGTATATGCATGTCCCAGTAACTGCACGGAACACACCTACCCTAAAATTCAGTTTACCTGACATTATCCTTTTGTTGTTGTTTCTTGGTCGTGGGGGCGGGGAGGATAAGCAGACCTGTGTGTCTTTGCTCTAGCTGGCAAGCCTAACCTCAGGCTGAAACCCAGTATTCAGCAGGCACTCAGTTGATGCTCAAATTCTCTTTTTCTTGGTCATCCCAGATTTATTGATGTATTGATTTAATTCAGGTTTGCAGGGTTTTTGTTTTGTTTTGTTTTGTTTCAGAAAGAGAGAGCACATGTGAGAGGGGATGAAGAATGGGGGTCAAGGGAGAGGGAGAGAGAGAATCCCAAGCTGGCTCCGCGCCCAGCATGGAGTCTGATGCGGGGCTCGATCTCAGGACCCTGAGATCACGACCTGAGCCAAAATTCAGCGTCAGACACTCAAGCGACTGAGCCCCCCAAGCGCCCGATCCGAGATTTATTTAGACTCTTGTTTCTCAAACACGGGATCATCTACACCAGAACCCTCTTGGGGGTGTCCATTAAAATACATATTCCAGGGCTCCACCCATGATTCTACTCCAGAGGGTCCAGAAGGATGTCCGGGGGTCTGCACGTGGAGCCAGCTTTCCCGGAGAAGTCCACCGCACCAGAGTCAGAGAAGCAGCTGGCTTGAACCCCGATCCTAGCTTCCTAAGACAACCTCGAAAATAAGACAGCAGCCCCCAGAGCACCACAACCCTCTGCCTCCTACCATGCCTGGGACCAAAGAAACTGCCGATCACTCTGAATGCAAAAATGGGCAAGTACGAATTTTGAGTCTGTAGACACTCCAGGTGCGGTTTAAGCTGAAGACACGCATCAGATCCAAAGAGTTTCGAGCCATCGGAGTCCTACTCGCTACGGGAGGGGAAGGGGAGGGGGCCGCGCGGCGTTACCTGGTACCCACCTACAATCTTGCTTCTTGTAGCACAGTCCCCTTGGGAGCTGATGTCATCAGGGATTCAGAATAGGCCTGAATGGCCTCCTTATCCTTTGAGCCCTTTTTACTACTACTCCAAAATAAATAGCATTTCTCCTAGAAGATAACCAAGCTAATTTATAGTTGACACCGTAGCCAAACACGAAAGGTTGACGCGCTTCTTCAGCTTCCGGAAAGCAAGGAGCAGGGTGTTAAGTCCAATAAACCATTAACGCCTGGAGATGCAGAGACGTGGAGAGCGGGTGCCCTTCACCAGAGACAGAAATGCCTTCGGGAAACGCGCTCAGTCCGACGGACGAGCCCCACAGGAAAGGGCCTGGCCACCTGAACGACTAGGGTTTGGACACCGGAACCAAGGTGGGGAGATGGACCACCGTGGGCAAGGTGCATTGGCCAAGAACCAGCGGGCTGAGCAGGTGGCGTTTTAAATCGGCTCGTAACAGAAATTTCTGTGAAAAGTCTTGCTATTTGAAAGGAACGACTTAAGAAGAAAAATTTCTGGGAAATTAAAATACGTTGAGTTCGTCAGCATATGATCTTTTTTAAAAATCAGGACAAATAACATAAAAATATGTGAGGCCTAAGCTCTGCTAAGCTTCCCTGCCCCCCCCCCCCAAAAAGTCACGGAATAAATTTCCACTATGTGACCTCCGGTGCCCCCTGTGGGGAGGAAGTCTCAGCTGTGTCCTCAGGGAAACAGGCATCCTTACTGCGTCTGGGGGCCGCACACTGACCTGGGGCTGAGGCCTGGAGGGAAGGGGTCCTAGCCAGTGATTTCATGGGTTTCCTCACTCTCCTTTCCCCTCCCACTCCTGATGGACACTCAGGAGAGACAGAGGAGACAGAAGATGGGGAGGCTGCTCTGGCCTCCTCCCCTGGGCCGGTTCCTCACCAGCCAGTCCCTGGGATCCCCTGTCGGTGGCGGTGGAAACACCCAAGGAGGGATTCTCAGGCTGAGAGCCTTGGCTTCTAGTCCTTTCTGCCCTGCCAGCATAAATCAGGCAAAGAACTATAGGGAGTTCCCTTATGCTCCCTGGAGAGCCAGTCCCGCTCAGTCCAGTCTCCCTAAGCCCCTAACAGGCTGGCTAAACCCATCGGTCACCAGGAGCTCAAACACCAGAGCAGTGGCATGGTGAGAGCTCATGGGCCCTGGCACCCTTGCACCAGGGCAAACCTTTCTCCCTACAGGATAGGGAATTTGGAAGGCAAATCTGGTTAAGGGGCTGACACCCAAGTTAAGAGCCCAGGAAGGTTTATGGTTACCAG